GTGCAACATCAAGACAAATGATTACAAAAGACTAAGCCACTTGGATATCTCTTTTGAATATTTTATCTCCAACAATGTTATAATTTTATTATTGAATATCTCAATAATACAGCTTTCAGAATTATCTGATGCTGTATTTTCATTTTATCAGCTTTATATGTTCTTTACACAATAATCTAAATCAATATCATAACCTGACATAAAATTATACTGAAAACCTGCAAATAGTTTCTATGAATTATTTAACCGCACCGCTGGAAATAATATGGCGCATTGTATTGCAAAAATAGTTTTAAAATTTCAATCAAAACTATTATAACATTAAAAATTGATCATGAAGTTTAATTAACTAAGCAAAAATAAAGTAGGGGAATAACAGAAATATATATATATATATATATATAATACTATATATATATATATATAGTATATAATATATATATATATATATATTTCTGTTATTATATTTTGTTAATGTTTTGTTAATGTTTTAATAGTTTGATTGAAATTTTTTAAAACTATTTTTGCAATACAATGTGCCATATTATTTCCAGCGGTGCCTTATATTATGTTATGTTATATTATATATATATATAATATATATATATATATATATATATTATATATATATATTATATATATATATATATATGGGGGAATTATTTCGTTTTCTCTCAAATTCCGCTTTGGAAATAAATCTTCCGCCAATTCGCTCAGATTGTGATATTACCGCGTGTTGACCAGGCAACGAACAGTATTCAAAGTGATTCAAAACAACGAAACTTGAAGCAGCATGAGCCCTGAGCAGTCATGCCAATCTCAAGGACATTACGGCTTTGCCCAATTTACTAGGCTTTTCGCCTCACTCAAACATGGAAAATTTCGCCATTATTAGCAATCCCTGTACAAAAATATATAGATATGTGTTTATAATGTTACTTTTTATGATTTTGCTCTCACTAATTGTGTAATAGTGCTTTTTTATGTTCGATCGTATGCTTCAATTTTTCATTCTTAGCCACGCGATCTGTTGAATTGCATTGAATTGAATTGATACCTTATTTTACATGGCGAGACTCGGGCCTGCTCTTCCGTCTGACCACAGTAATGTCGCTACGCTCCTTTCACCAACTAGCAGAGAAAGAAGGTATATCTTGGGCGAGAAACAGGCGATTTGAATTTAGCTCAGGTCATTTAGGCTTGAGGATCTTTTACATGCAAATAAATCTACTAACATGGGTGAGCCGGCTTTACTTCCCCTCTGAAGGAAGGAGTACGAAGGATTTTTTCGCCCGGCTTTCATCGGGTTTGAACCCACCGTTTGAACTGGGTATAACAGTCCGATACGCTGACCGTTACACCATCGCCGCCATCTGTTGGTACTAGTTAAGAAACTAGTCAACGGTAGCTCTTTATGGGACATTAAAATATTTTTATTTTACTGCTATTAAACTAAATTAATTCGAACAATTAAATAAAACTTAGCATAACATTCCTTATTTGGTTTATGTAGGTCTCACAATACGCATCTCGAAAATAACTAATTTTGAACGTACTATGGTCTCTCTATCTACTAGGGAATATCTCGCTCCAACCACCTTAAAAGACACGTGGTGATACCGATAGTGGTTTCCTAGTGAAAAATAGCGGCCTTTCCAAATACGTAATCTTCCCTTAATGCCACTCCCTAGGAATGAATAAATGGAGGAGAGTAACCACGGAGCGCTTCTGCCATGCATTTATGATGCGCCAACATCAACATTTCACCGCATTAAAAGTATTAGACTGAATAAGTATCGGACTGAAAAAAATGTCAAACGTTTATGACAGAAATCTGGTATTCGCTTATAACTGCCCGCAAACGAACATGAGGCGCGCACGAGGCAAGTTGAGAGACGCACGGCAACGCAGCCTCTGACGAGGCCCAACTGCCAAGCTCCACGAATATGCAATTGATAGAGCGATTTTTATAAGAATGGGTCAAAGTGACAGTTCGCTAAACAAGCGACCATCACGTGTGATTCAGAGAAGTATCCCTCCGCCGCGGCAGCAGTTTAGCAACACCTCTTCGTAGTGTGTATTTATGGCTCTCGCGAAGACATCACTGGACAAAAGTCTACAAATTTTGTTTAATTTTCACAATCGTGTCATAATTATATAAAAATTAAATCTAAAAAAGCAAAGCACGTGGCCACGAAACGCTCCCCACTTTACAACTCAGAAGTCGCAAAAACGTGCATCGTCAAAAGTACGCATTTCACATTCAGAACTTGATTTTAAAACAAACATAATACTTATCACATAAAAAACAAATTCAATGTAATGTTTATAAAAACATAGGAATTTTCACAGAAGAGCACATAGTTTGGAACTTCCTAATTTCAATTATTTCTCCTGGCGCACTATATTTTCGTAGGACGAGAACACAGAAAGAGTCGAAGCCATTTACAAGTTAGCCAACTCCAAACGAAGGAATGGAGGAAGGAAAGTTTATTAGGTTCCATAGCAACGACCACAGAACCTTTTCATTCTACTAAAAATTCATTTTACCAAAACGTTTCATTCTACTAAAAATTGCTCTATATAAGATAAAAGTCTGAAATATATTTTGTATATATGCTATTTGGTTTTCAATTATGTAATAACAGGTGAGCTTTCATTGAATTGGGTGTAGGTTTTCTTATTTATTTTTGTAATTTTTGTTCTTCCTTCCTTTAAGAATATAGTGAAAATCACTGTTTGTCTTCGTCATTCTGAACTAATTTTATAAATAAATTTTCAATTGTACCTGATGAGGGAAGCAGAACAGTCCCCGAAAAGGCGGATGTAACAATACAATTAAGTGATAAAATATTAAGAATTATTTATTGTGGCTCTCCTGAATTTAAAAAAGGGACTGAAACATTTTAAAAATGAACTGTTTAACGTACAGCCACTCTAGAGGAAATAAACATTTGTAAATGTTCTTAATCTTCCTTTTCGTCCGATCTTGGTTCGACAACCACTCGGTAAATATGACGAAAATAAACAATTAACATCTTACGCAACGAATCTTATTTGAATACAATTATACTCTACTATTACATACTTCGTATGCATTTTCTGTCGACTCCCCTTCCCATTAGGAGACGCTTGACCTACGAGATAAGCTTTGCCATTACGAGTCTTTTTTTTTTTCTCTCTTTATTTTCTTCCCAGCCCAGAGTCTCTCGCTGGGCAGTAAATCACTTTCTACATAGGCAGAAAAAACGAGTCAATATCTCTCAAAACTACGCGCGCGCCGCAGCTCTTCCTGGCTTTTCGGGCAGAAAAGGCTCTCATACGCGCTTCTAAAAATACTGCCCTTTAGCTGAATCAAATTCCTGGCCACGCTAAACACTTACAACGCTTCAATTCCCCCTCCCCCCACATACACACAGATTTTACACGACTATACAAACAGAAATATCCTCGCCCTGATGGTAAAATGCAACAAAATAATATTGATAGAAGTTCAACTTGTCTGCACTCTGCTGAAACGACTTAGACCGTATAGTATACGGCGTATACAGAAGGGTGACGCCCCTGAAAATTTCGGAATGGCGCCTCGTAGCGCTACAATAAATAGCATTTTATTGATAAACGAATTATTAATAACCGAAAAGAAACTTTCCAAACCACCTGGCAACCCCGTAAATTGTACAACATAAATCATTTGTATTTATTAATCATGCCATATCATTAAATTTATAATTGTTTTCTCCTTGTAGTATGTTTTATTTCTTTACTACAGGATGTGTCGTATGTAAATACAAGAAGTTTAATGAAAAAGGAAGCTCAGAAATGTAGTTTGTCACTGCTCTCTGTTTTATTCTGCGGAAGTCTACGACTTAGAATATTCATGTTATATTAAATGACACCCAACGTCTTATGAAATTTATAAAAGAATTTTATGAATACACGCAACATTTGGGCACTTTCATTAAATAGGCATTTAGTATGCAAACAGGGTTCACAGAATTTATATTATACTCCCCAAACCTCATAATTCCTAAAAGATAGGTGATAAGATTTAACTTCACAAGTGACCTAAAGGATTTTCAGTTAACGGAGAAAATAGCCCACAATTCGCTACTAAAAGACCATTTAAGGGGGACAGGTTACTTCCCTGTTAATAACAATTCGTAACTAAAAGGGTCCGTTATAAAATCGGTCTAACCCTAGATTCACGACCTATGGTTATTTGTGCATATTCAAAACGCGCAGTCATTTTGACTCCCACATCAAACGTGACTAGAAATATGAATATTTAACAAACAAAACAACAGTATAATATGAACTACTTATTAATACATTTAACAAAACAAAAACTTAGAATATAAACAAAGGGACAAAAACATTGCTGACCTAGCATTCGAAAGCTCTCGTTGAAAACAAATTCGGATCTCAAACAGTATCATCCGAGTCTGACAAAATGTCTTCTTAACATCATCAGAAAATTTATCTTCCAATAATTTGGAAATCTCGTCTTCATTACATAATCTAAACATTTTTGCACTGCCTTAAAAAATATTAGGATTTAACCAACAGGAAGTCAAAATTACTCCCAGAGTTTTACGCAGCGTAATAAAAAGAATGGAAAATCGCGAATATTCTTTACAAAGACTCATGGGTAACTAATGGAAGGACTGCAGGAATGCAGGTTCGTCACCACTTGACGATTACGCATTTCAATTACGACGAGAGTCAAAATGACTCCTGGTTGTGAATTTAGGATTAAATAAATGACGCTGATGGCTCGGCGGAATCTGCTTCGAGGATGTTTGTGGATTGTGGGTTCGAATTCCGCTGAAGACACGTGTTTTCAACTGTGTCTTGGAAGCCGTAGACCAACTACCTCATCTTTCCAGAACCATCCGGTAAAAAGTGTCAGTTCTATGTTACGAAGTCGGCCAAATTCAGACCGAAGTACGAACTAGAGTACAAAAAGAGAGACAATAATAAAAAGTATCATGACAAACCTGTTCAGGAACATCGGGAGGCTCCTTTTTTATTTCAGGCAATTTGATCGGCATCACTTCCACACTTGCAACATCTGCCTGAAGGTCCGGTGCCAAGGGATCTTTCTCCTGGAAACGTATTACAAAATGAGTGTGAAGTCAGTTGCTAGACAGTCATTGGAGTTTGAAACATACGTTAGCCTCTCACACGCCCTGGTTTAGGATGGTTCACAAAAGTAGCAGGATACCCCCAAATGTTTTCTTCTCGAAACAATGATATTCATATTGCCCGACTATACTTCGATTTAAGGGAGCTCCAATACCAAAACATTAAGCCCCAACGTACCTCTCAGTCCATCTCGTGACCTTAAAGTGCCATTGTATTTAAATCCGAGTATAAAATTCCTGTCATTTCGACATTTACCGACTGACAAGGAGAGGGAATTTAGTTCTCATCAGAGGCTTCAGACGTCGGTGGAGAGTGGCCGATGTTTAAAAATCAAATCTGCACAGCGATTCGGAGAAGAAGAAAAACACCGCGACTGAACTGAAAGTTAATGTCCGCCGAGCGCCATGTGGGCAAGAGCACCGTAAACATTATGAGGTGCATGCACTTTTTTCAATTAGGAATTAAATATTCAAATACGGTAATTCAACATGTACCGAAACTATTTAAAAGGAATCACTTATCAATTAAGTATGGTTTGCTGGAATTAAATCTGACATTCAATATCCGAATATTTTTTAAACATTCAGAAGTGTGATATAAAATAGTTAGGAAAAGTGTTTTGTTTTAAATTTCTAAATTATGTAGGTAACTATTTAATTTAAAATGTTAAAAACAAAACCTCTCTTAAATAAAATTCCATACAATGGTCTTGCAAAATAGAAAGAACCGCATTTGTACAATCAGTAAAAGTTATTTTGTAGAATAATGCTATACGGTTACTCTAATAAATCTTTCATCACACTATGGATTTTCCTTTCAGAAATGCGTCTCACTGTTCATATTATTCATGGACCTTGTGCGCTTGGTGTAAAAAATATTCCGTTATTCCTTTCATCGACAGAATTAGTATAAATAAGGAAATACTGCATAAAATGCAGTAAATTTGTGTAATAGTCATTAGTGAAATGAACAAGTGTCTCTAACAATTTTTATTATTAAAGTAAACAGAATGTCTCGATAGTTGTTCTGATGCACAGATGACCACGTGTCTATCGTCGAGAAAGTGACAACATCGCTCTCCCCACCCCAGCTGTCAAGTCAGAAATTGTAACCAACAATAGCCGCCGTTTTAGTCACGTGAGAGATGGAAAACCGTATTTCCATGCAAATACGTTTTCATGTAAGCTTACTACAGTTCAAACGTTTGTAAATACCTGAATAATGACATTTGCACTTTTAAAAAAAGCATGTGTCGCTGATATTTTGGAGAAGTTCATGCAGAATCTTTCCGGGATTTCCATGCCTTAACGCATAATTAGATTTGGTAGAATAGAGTGGTAGGATCTTGTATTAAGATGTTTGCATAAACCATGCTAACATTAAAAATAATCTATATTCTGTATTAAAAAAGGATTTTCTTATAATAAGACTGGACAGAGGTTATTTTCCGCTGAACATTTTAAAATTCTCAGAACTTGGAAGAAATGCAAGTACCCCTTTCGATATACACTGCAAAATGTTTGTTATAGTATATTAAATAAGCAGTGTTAACTGTCTAATAGGCATTTCAACAGAAAGGGAAAGGTCCGTCATATGGTCACAAACGTCGCTAGGTTGAAACCAGATCATCGAAAACCGAGATGTGAAGTGGTGAACGAGAAAAGTTCATAATATTACACGTCGGATGAAGTGTACAAGCTGTTTATCGTTAACATATATTTTTATCACCGGTTGCGGTCATGAAACTCGTCGCGGATAACTCACACATAATTTCAAGCTTCCGTAGCGGCCACCCCACCAAACTCCGCTGCCAAACAAACAAAATGTTCACGGTATAATAACACATTATTTACTCCCTCACGAATCAAATTGTTCTCTTGAGGGGAGTGTCTAAAGCGGTTTTTCTAATCGTCCCAGGCAGGAAATCAGCTGCTAACGGTTTCATCCAATAGGGAACTTGAACGTCATCTTTGTGACGTCATAGTCCTTTGTGCGTCGTGGTCCTTCATACGCAGTAAACGACAATTACACTTTCCTGATAATAGTAGTTTATTCAGTTAGTTTATAATGTTAAGCTTTACTACATGAGTATATGTTTTGAAAACGATCGAGTTTTCAAATTTGTACGAATGTAATAAAGCAACATTATAAACGAGTTGCATACTATATTTTTTTTGTAACACAGCATTATACATTTATAAGAGAATCAAACTTAATTTTGCGAAAACAATTCCCTGTGAGAACTCGGGTATTTGACATTTGTGCGAGTAAACGGTGGTCGGCTGCTCCGTTTAGCTTTACCTCCCCCCGATTCTCTCGCTACGATTGGCTGAATGTGTGATGACGCAATCATTCGTGACATAAAATCTAATACGTCATCATTTGTGCCGTAAAATGCCCGATTATGAATGATTTCTTGCTAAAGAAAAGGTTCTTTTATAATGCTGTAATACAAAAAAGGTGTTACAGCATTGTTAAATAAGTAAATAATGTCCTTTCGTGCCAGTTCGGTATTTCTACTCGTGAGATCGACGCTTAAGGTACGAAGTTTTCCAGTCTAGAATATTACCACGAATTCCACAAGAATGTAATTTTGATAGCAATATGTTATGATCAATAACGTCAAAAGCTTTCGAAAGATCTCAAAACATTCCAATGGGTGCTTCATTTTGGTCTATTGATGAAGCCACATCTTTAAGAAATGAAAAAATGGCAGTTTGGGTAGATTTTGATTTTCTAGAAACGGGTTGCGAATCTGAAAACGCTTCGTTTTTCCTGAGAAAAATTTCCATTTGCGTTAGAAAAGCCTCTAATATTTTTGAGAAACCTGACAAAAAAGAAATTAGTTGGTAATTTTGAATTTTGTTTTCTTTCCTTTTTTTAAAAACTGGCTTAATTTTTGCTGTTTTGAATATATCTGGAAATATTCCTGTACATAAAGAAGCATTGAAAATGTGAGCTAACGGGTAGTATAAACGCAGGTACACAAGTTCTCAAAAAACAATCTCGAAATTCATCTAAACCAGATGAATATTTATTTTTTACTTCACCGACAATTCTCAGATTTTGTTAGAAGAAATTTCGCAAATAAACATAGTGTCGAAAAGTTTTTGGGAAGGGAATGATGTTGAATTTTGTGGTTTTAGTCCCTGCGCGAGTTCAGCCGCAATTCTACATTGGTTGAAGATATTTGCCACTTTTTCCGGATTACTTTCTTCGCTTTTATTATCCTTTAAACATTCTCCACTAAGTGCCGAGGTGATGTGGTCGTATTATTTACGATATTCCTCACAGCTTTAGTTTTGTTACTACCGTTCAAAACATCCTGATTATTATTCATTATTTTTACCTGAACTATTATTTTCCTTAAAATTCTTTTGTATTCTCAGAAGTAGATATGGAAACCGGATGATGCGTTATGATGTTTAGAAAAAAGTAAAACGTATGTTTGTTTTTCCACGATGTGTTAATTTCTTGTGTGAGCCAAGTATTTTTTCGTGAAATGTTAATTTTCACTTTTCAAGGGGAAAGCACGCGTTAAAGTGAAATTAAAGCTTTGAGAAAAATAAATTATATTTTTCATTTGTGTCAACAGCGTTATAAACTGTGTCTCTTTAGTGAATGCTCTACACACGCGTGTATTATTTATTGTGTCAGTGTTCATGTTATTAGTAATTGTAAGAATTTGTGCTTCGAGGTCACTGTAACCTAGATTGGTAGTTTTTATTTCATATCTAGTAGTGGGTTTTTAAATTATAATATTATCTATTGCTTTTTGTGATTTAAATGTATTCCGTGTAGGTACATTCAATGTAATATCTAAATTTAAAGAATGCAGTAAATTGAGGAACTGTTCTTTTTTGAGGGATTCGCTCAGTAAATCAATATTGAAATCTGCACATATAACAATGGATTTAAAAGACAGATTACAAATTTTGTTCAGTTATCTCTAGATTTTCTAAGAAAATAAATTTATCCAAAGTTCGCATTGTTGGAGGTCTGTAGATGCAAAGTAAGATAGTATGATGTAGGACTTATTTCAAAAACGTTTTCAACTGCATATAAATTGAATTCTGTCAAAAGGGTCAAGCAGGTCCTTTATTTAATTCCCTCGCTTTACAATATGATTCTGCAAGGTGAAAACTACGAATTTGGCGTATGTTTAGATGATTAAGAGATAGCCAATGTTCTGAAAAGCAAAAAGGATCTATTTGATCTAGATCACATGCTGCCTCGAAAAATTCTATTTTATTTGAAAGAGATTGCACATTAAGATGCATTACTTGATTTTTTTACATGTACCTACACGGATGTTTCTAGATGATCTTGGGCTTCGTTTGAAAAGCAAAGCCAGCCACTGGCCGCCAAGCTGCAAGGCAAGCTAGAAGTATTGAGACATCTTTTGATACTGGCATAAAGTGAATTTTCAGCAGTGACAAAACAAAATAAAACGATGGTGTAATTGAAATAAAGGATGCAATTATTTTTTTTAAAAGCTTCATAAATATTCCTCAATGATTTCTAATGACGATAATTTTGGTATCTGGATGCATTTAAAATCCCCGCTAATATTGTGGCGCAAAGTGGTACATGAAGCTCGCTGAGTAAAGACGGATAGGCTGCACAATAGCTCACCCATGTCTTTTCACCACGATGGAGGGTTTTTGCATTTAAATGCTTAACACGTTGTAACGCGAACACGCGGCTTAATAACTTGTGAAGTTCAAAGTGTCTTTGCACTTTTTAAAAATTATATTTGTTTCGTCTTCAAGACACAAAGCGCCTCTTTACCCTTGGCGTTGATCCTCCACTAACATGTTAATGGCGTAATCCTCCGTTACTATTAAAGTCCCAGTCCTTGTTAGTACGTCGTTGTCCAGAGGACCGCCAGGTAGCATTTCCGCGTAGGCGCCTCCCACACGCGCCCATGTGTGATTACCCAGTGGCCAGAATTAGGAAG